CCGAGCTCCTTCGGAGATAATGAAAACACGTTACGATATTTCGCGCATAAATCCAAGACTTGCGAGCATTGTTGAGGAGTAAATGTAGTGTTCGTGAACGCTTTTTTCATGGCTCGTTTCAACTCGTCTCGCTTGTGTCTGAATGTGGTTTGGTCGCTATTGACAGCGCTAACTGCTTTATCGGGAACCGATTTTACTGGCGAAATGTACCCTAAAATAGTGTCGCGTGCAATGTGAACATGTCGTTTGGATGGAATAGCAACTTGTACTGCAGCAGCCTTGTCCTTCGCTGACCAATTGCATACCGTTCAGGCGACTACGATTGTACGGAACGCTTCGGGTATATTTTCAGACGTTTCGATGTGTTTGGCAGTAGTGACAATCCGTGGTTCGATCAACGCAGGCGTGTTTGCCTGTGGTGCGTGTTCTGTCACGACGTCTACTGCCATTTCACTTTCGGGGGGAATGCAGTATCTCCTAGAGAGATATACGGGCACCGCTCCTATCGATGGGTCAAGCGTCACTATAGAAATTTGCGCTGGGGCATCATTATGGTGTCCGCTTGACTATTTGTTCGACTGTGAGTTGCCGGAATTTTTCGTGTTGAATTTTTAAATGAAAGTTGCTCACCGCACCAATCAAGGACGGCACCGAAGGCATTCATAATGCTATTATCGAGCAACATCTTATGCGGACCTAGATTGGGCAACACGAGAGCTTCCACTGGTAGTGTGATATCTCCCAGTGTGAGCTTAAACCGGATGTATCCTAGGATTTCTAACGCTGATCCGTCTGCACTATTCAACTGAATTGCGCCAGGAGGCACAGGTTTCAGAGGTAAACGTTGCAGGACCGGATGCGATTTAATAAAAGACGCTGATATACACGGTACATCAGCTGCTGTGTCGATATTAAGGTCAGACACAGCGTGATTACAAACTCGGGCAGGAATTCGCACTCTCTTGGAGGACGAACTTAACGCATTCGGGTGGTGTGGATATTCACTCAGTGCTGACGCATGAAACGCCGCATAAGTGGGTCCACCACTCGATGCACTTGAAACAGAGACAAGTCTTTCCGTGTTACTGTATGGTTAAATGGCCACTACCAGTCAATACAAATTCAGCTTGCGGGGCTAACCTCAAAGTCGGCGCACGAGTGCGTTTGTTCTTCCTATTTTTCACTGCTTTGCTACTTGACCGACTACGAAACGGTGCCTGGGCAGAACCTGTTACCGATGTCTCAGAATTACTGCTAAAACCTTAAAACGGATTCACACCACCACCTCTCACCCGAGGAAAAAATGATTCCCTCGATTTGCTACTGTCATGCACATACGGGGCTGAGTCAACTCGGGCATCCTGTGCTACATGAGTTCCCTCAGCTAATGGTGTGCTATCGACCTGTGTCCCTACGAGCGAGGAGTCCCGTGAAGGGCCCCGTCATGCTTGAGTTCAAGTCCATCCCTTCTCTTGAGCGTGTTTTTTCTTTAAACCGCATTGTTCGAGGGGGTGGTTGAACTTGCACCCCGGGTAGGGGCAAGGTTCTTGTTTCGATGCCGAGGAAGAACTGCCTTTACCCATGGTGCGCGCCTTTTTAGGGGCACCCTGACTCGCACTCGTCTTGTTTAAAGGCCGCATCGACTTGAGCCGGGTGACCTCAGCTTGCAGGTCTTTAATGACCGCCGTGTTCGAGGACACAGCTGAATAAGGCGACGGTGTGGTTGAACTTGCACCCCGGGTAGGGGCACGGTTCTTGTTTCGATGCCGAGGAAGAACTGCCTTTACCCGTGGTGCGCGCCTTTTTCGGGGCACCCTGATCTCTTCGTCGAAGCCAGTGTAGACCCTGGCTACTATCGGAGACAGAGGCCGGTGCCTGGCAGTATTATCCCACTGCCAGGGGAAGGCTATTTCCTCTCGTAGCATGTAAACGAGGAGAAGAGGGTAGAAAGAGAGAGTGGCCAGAGCGAGCAGAGGGAGAGGAGGGTCGAAGACTCTCCGCTTCCACTTTCGGCAAGTGGCCAGGGACTTCGGAAGAGATAAATCTCCGACGGCGCATTTCCTGTCACTCTCCCTGTGACAAGATACCCCGAGGGAGCCATATCTTCCTACACTTTGTATGTGCACACATGGTTGGTTATACTCCCGACAGGTGTCCTCCACAGTTGGGTGCATTTGGTTAATTGTTGACCACACAGCTGCCGAGGCCGATCGCCGGCGGGGTGGTCTGTCTGTCTGTTGGCATGGCTACTTAGCCAGCAAGAGAGAGAGGTGCCATGCAATCCGGTCAAGCCCAGGCGACCCCAAACCCTAAATCTTGTTCACGCCGAAGGTGGTCATGTCATATCGGCAGGGGGCTCCGAGGACAGGAAGTTGAACTTGCCCATACCCTACGGTACGTCTAGCCCCGTGGTGTCGCGGACATGGTCTATGCCGATCATATCTTCATCCACAAGCATCTCTCTGAGCCGCCCTCGTCTTTTCCCGTTCCCGCTTGAGCGCAAAACTTTGTTCTCTCACCTTGATCTTCATGTCGCAGCGAAGGGAGTGCATATTGGCGTTCTTTTGCTTGGTCTACACAACGCAGTGGCAGCACCAAGGAGAGAGGGAGGAGAGAGGGAGGAGAGAGGGAAGAGAGAGGGATGGAGGGGAATGTAGACAGGAACAAAGGACAAAACAATGGTCAGGTCAGGCCGAAAGACGCGCAACGACAGACATGAAAAAATACAAAGACACCCGTCTCGCCCTATTAAGCCTACCTGTCAGATACAATCGAATGCCTCAGCTCGAACTAGAGTACGCCGAAATTATTGCAGTCGAAACAGGCCTCTGCCTAACACAAAACATACATGTGCCCGCCCGCCCCCCGGGTCGCAAAATCACAGCGTCCACGCACAAACGAAAACGCGACACTGACAGATAAAAAAACAGAAAACCCTTAAAAAGCTAGAACTTGCAGGGGTATCTTCGATACGCAGCACGCATGAGACGCTCCTCACTTCGGCCCGCGCGTTTGGGTGGCTGATGAAAGGGCTCATGTGACTACCAACACATGAGAGCAACCCTCCCCCGTCCCGTACCTCCAAAGCCGCACACACACGATACAACGTCAGCGGACTGCCTACGCGAAGAGTGGAAGTACGCGAAGAATGTAAGTTTATCACGAAAAATGACAAGGCAGGGGGACGCACACCGTAACCCTAAACCCCAACCGCAACTTAGACGACTCTAACCGTATCCAGTACGATAATACATATGTTCATGTTTGCTTACTTTGGAAAAGCCTGCGTAGGCTATTTATTGGCGTTGGGCCACACACCTTTTCGAGCAACCTCTTGTACGCGTAGTGTTTCTGCCGTCTCTCCTTGAAAACCTCCTCGTCCTCGTGTTCCCCCTGTACGGGTGCCCTCAGCCTGCCCAAGCGGTCCACGGTCACGCCGTCCGGGCGGGGCGGCAAGGGCAGGTCTTTGATCACCGGCAGGTCGCCCACCGCAATCTTGTCCCTCAGGCACACCATGACCGTATCCAACACGTGCCCGTTAATGCGCCACCGAACCTTTTCAGTCAAGGTACAATAGAGTAGCGCGGTACAGTATCTCATGATCGATGATGTTGATTAAATGGAACGAATGGATCAAGCGATGTCCGTGTAAGGGATATCGATTGGTTGATCGCTGTGAACCAAAGAGTGTAGTGTAGATAGAAAGAGGTGAGCGTGTTTCAACACACCAGGTGTATCTAGGACACATGAAGAACATGTCAAGTGCACAGAAACGGTACCTGTTGTAGGCGCTTCGCTATCTTAATACCTTGCAAAACTTGTTTATGTGCATCAACATTTCGTCATGTCACATGTCACATGATCAAAACGAGGAAGACATAGCATACATGTACTGTAGCACCTGACTCAATCAAGTCGTTCTTTCGTTCGTGGATGCTTTCAACGCAACGCCAATCGCACAAGCGAAGCCTCTACATGGGACGTGTGTGTGTCCTCCGGGGGCATGGCAAGGATAAGGTTAAGGATAACGCATGCATACAATACTGGCTCTCAAAAGTGACACAAAAATCACCTCTCTTGACCATCCCAAGATGGATCACCTATGTATGCCTAGACCGTCAATAAACAACGACACAACACTTTGTTTCTCTCGGTCCCATATTCCGTGTTTCAACTATGGCGTTCGGTGGGGTCAGAGGCCACGAGGCTATTTATAGATGCCGTACCCCACCTTCCCAAGGCAGTTGAGTGCCTTGTAGACCTGCCTCAGGTCTGCTCTCCTCAAGGCGTGCTTCTGTGCTGCCTCTCCCTTCGTGCGCATGATCTGCGCACGCAGTCGGAGAAAGCCCCCTCGGTTAGGCTTAATCCAGTCCAAAGGGGGCACCAGCATCGGCACGAACCGCGGCGTGGCTAGCCTGCTGATGTCCTCGTCTACCATCTGCCACGCGACGCGAAGCACGTTACAACAAAAAGGTCAAAACCGCGGTGGTGAAAATGGGGGGGGGGTGCTAACTGGTACGGGTAGCGAGGCATGCGATAGCTAGGGCAAGAGTGGAAGGACAACGTACGTAAAGGGTGTGAAGGTAACCTCCAAACGCGAAAAACGCACATGCCAAGGATCTGGGTGTCATTTGGAGAAGGGAAACTGCTGCGAAATCGAGTGACATCCAAGCTTTCACGTCCGCACGTGGGACAGGCAAGGGAGGGCAAGAGCAAAGGTATCGCGAGTCGTGGACTTGGATGTTTTCATGTCAACACCTCGCCGTTCGGACGATTTTCTATCAGAGGTCTATGAGACTTGTCAACAACCCAGCCGGCTGTGTACATAGATAGCCTTTGCTCGCCGCGGGACACAAAACCGAAGCAGTGGTCTACTCGTCTCTACTGCAAACTGCCTAAAAAAAACAGGCAAGGAGCAGAAGCAACACACGAGTCAGTCACCTTCGAAAAGATCTCCGGCGCCATGGTCAAGCTCCCCTTCCGGCTATTCTTGCCCTTGATGATGTCGTGAACGAATGCCGCCTTTGGCATTGGAAACCCCTCCGTGTCCCGCTCACCACCCCCTCTCTCCGCCCCCCCCTTGTCCCACGCCGTCACCACGCCGCTCTCCTTGTCGTACGTCCAACAAGCCGTCTCTATCAGCAGCTTGATCAGCGCCGCGCCTAGCTTTACTTGGGCGCCGATCGGCCAGTGCGTGTCCTCCAGCATGTCCAGCGCATCCTGGGCTTGCTTGTTCACCTGTTGGAATGTCCGTCCCCGCGAAGCAGGTTCGAGAACAAGGAGTGAAGGAAAAAAAAAAAGACAAAATACAGAACTGTACCAGGACAACCAGAGAGTTAGGAATATGCTAACGAGCAGAACGGCATGCTCGAGAAGAATTCAGCGACCGTTTTGCACCAAACATGCTCTTGGTGCAGGGATGACAGGCAAGAAGCGGCAACAGACGGCCAAGCGGTTCTCTGCACCATCGGCATGCCGTAATCGTAATCTTCTCCCAAGTCCTACACACGCTTGGGCTTTCATCAAAACAGCACGCTAATCAGATGCACTGCGGTCATGCCTACGAGTGCTGTTGTAGCGCAGGCCCACTATGACAAGTACTCCAGCGACGATGAAACGATGAAAGCAACAACAACATAACAACAACACCGCATTCCATCAAACAGCACCCACCGCGCAGCAACGCACGCACCTCTCTGACATGTCTCAGGCTGCTGACTTGCACACGCTGGCCTTTCTTGCCGTCCTTCTTCATTCTCATCAGGTTCACCTTGACGAAAAGAACAAAAACAACGACGACAAACCCTGAACAGCGCAACGTGCTTCCCGTGAAGGTTGGAACAACGACAATTCTTGGTATGTTGGGCGCACCCACCCCTACGCCCCTTGACATGCCATTGCCATGCCTTACATTGTCATTGCCGTACTAGTCGCTCTGCAAGAATAACGTGGTGGGTGGGTGTATCAATAGCACAGATACAGAGATTTTGGAGAACACCAAATTCCCGGTAGGCGCGCTGCCTCTCCCCACAAATTCTCGATCGCCGTTCAGCTAGCCTCCAGCCACCTTGCCCCTCTTCTTACTGTCTTACTGTCAAATGATGGCTGTTGCTGCGAAACGATCTTACCTCTGCCTGCACTAGCTCGGCGACGCGAGTGCACGCTCTTACGGTGGAAACCCCTTTGTTTCCGCTGGCCAGGATGAGATTCACCACCTCATGCATCACCTTCAAGGCAGGATACAGCGTGCGCATAGTGTTGTTGGCATATCATAATGGTACTGTAGGCAAAGTGTATATCGATCGTCAGTCGTAGCCGCTTCACGGAAGGACTCATCTTAGCCAGCCAGGCCTTGGCACGCCTGGAAACATCCAGCCGCCATCATCACACTAACCAATAGAAGGAGGAATCAAGACCAGCGGGCGTACGCCCAAGCAAGAAAGAAAAAACGTTACGAAGTTGAGGAGAGAACACTCGCAAAGATTCAAATACGCCCCGCCCCGTGGACGCGCCAGTACCCTAGCAGCTTGCCCTACCCCTCCTTTTCCATCAGCACGAAAAAGAAACGTGGTCGATGAGTGGAGCAACGGTCAACGGCAAGTCAGGAACGCCTGACTTACCCCCCTCCCAACAACTTGATCCTATTCCTTCTGGCGTGTACAAAAGCACCTCTCTCGCTCTCACCAGCACGGCCTGCTTGTCCGCCTTGAGCATCACCAGAAAAGCCCCGTAAGTGCCGCGGCCACCGAAAGAGCCGCTAGTTTTGACGGTCCCCTTGTTGTCATCCGTGACGTTTGCCCACACCGCCTCCTGCTCCCTCTCGATGCTCTCCTTCAGAGCCGGATACCTTTTGGCGATGGGATCAACCCAAGCAAAGACGAGCGTGATAGGTGATCGATCGGTCCAACAGAGGAGAGGGCGGGGGGAAAGTCGGGGTACATTGGAACGCAGGCAGGCTGGCAGGCAGGGTGTCAGCAGTGTTTGACAAGCTAGGGCTAGGGTGAAAGGTAGGAGCCTGGGAGACCACCGGCACAAGCCGTGTAGGTACCTGAACATCGAGCAACGGAGTGCTTGATACGAGGTGGCTTTGCTCACTCCACGTCTACATCACGAAATATGCTGCTCACAGCGCCGCAAGTTCAGCAGATGAACTGAATATGCAACCCTTTTACCCTGATCCAAGCCCCGACAGGCAGCGAAGCCAAGCCAGATTGTATACATGGCCTGTTGGAATGCTTGGAACGTGAACGTACCACGTGGTGAGAAGCCGCTCGATAGGCTTCATCTGCGTGCCCTTGCCCATGGTCATGAGCTCCTTCACCATCTGCTCGAATCACATCAAAAGGACATGGAGAAGCAAGGTTGACCGACACACCACACAGGAGTAGCATCCGAAGTGACGTAAACCACGTGAGCTCATTGAAAGACAAGTGAGCAAGAGAGCGGTATTCTCTTTAATTAGAGTCGCCATCTTTCAAGCAGCCGTTAAAGTTTTGACGATGGGAAGTGTGTCATCAACACCGCTGAGCTTCCGAAGTCCACCGTATTCTATCATACAGCAGTTATGCGCGGTTCGGTCGAGAACGTGGCACATGTTCTATTTTACCTAGAAAACAACTCAAATGGTACATGTTTTCGTCGTGTTTTCGTCTCGTTTCAAGTTGAACGCTCTCAGCACAAACGTGCACGAACTCCCTCCCCGCCTATCACCCCCCGCCTACATCTTGCACGCCCCGCGTAGCAGGTACCATACGCACCTTCCCGTACTTCTCGCACGCTTCTTGGTGGCTCTGATCTTCCCTGTCCAGCTGCATCTGGTACAGCGTGCTGTACGGCAACTCCACCTCATCCTTATCCTCCCCCTTGTCCCCGCGATCAACAGCCTGAGGGATTTCCATCAGCGGGTCGACGAAGTCATCCTCCTCTTCGTAGACCACATCAGCACCAGATGCAGCGGCAGACGAAAACGCCTCTTGTGGCGGGCATCGTAAGATTGCCGTTTGGTCATTGGCGTATCCATTGGCTTGATCGTCCGGATTGCTGGTAGCCAAACCTGGCGCCTGTGCGTGCAGAATGGCAGGACGGGAAGGTCAAAAGCCATGACATGCCTGCCACGACAACAACATATAGTAGATTCTTGCCTTTCGCTCTCTGCAAGTTTCGAGAGCAAAGGCTACCTGGGACGTGTTGCAGCAGACACAGAAAGAGAGTAATTCCCGAGAATTAGCAGAAGTGATTGATAAGCCTACCGCACGATCACCCGTCTCGTGTCTTGCACATTTTAGCTGGACAATTCTAACGCCCTTGGAATACAAAACTACTACACCCGGCTACACCTACTTTTGATGTCCCAAAGGCGCGTGGCATCGAGTACTTCTGGTCGTATACGGGAAATGGTCAAAATTGCACACACACAACAGTCAACACAACAACAAAACAACTAATCACCTGATCTTCCTCCTCTTCCTCCTCGGACTCCCACGAAAAACCTTCCGACAGCGCGGCCCCAACGTGCCCTTCCAACCCCGCGGGGCCCGCCAAAGGGGTCGTCGATTCTAACTTCGCCGTCCCGCCAACACCACCGCTTTCCTCTCCTATTCTACAATCAACCGATCGGCCTGCCTCCTCTTTCGCTACTGCTGGCGCCGTCTCCAAAGCACCCCTCCTAGCACCTGCACGTGCTGCCCCGGCGGGGAGGTTGCCGAGCAGCAGCCTTCCAAGCGCGTCCTCGGCGTAACCAGGCGCGGGTCCGTTCAGGACTCTCGGGAAATCGGCGTCGGTCATCGCCAGCACCCGTCGGCCCCCTTCCGCCTCGGCGTGATCGAGGGAGGAGGCTGCCTCCCTGCTTTGATTGATGTTGCTGCTTCTCCTGATGGCGGTGACGGTTGCGCCCGTACTTGTGCTGGTGCTGCCGGGCTTTTCACGACGGGAGGGCCTCGGAGGGACAGATTGGGCGGTGGGCCTGATGAATACATACACAGCACGCGGTGGGGAGGGAGGCATGGGGCGCATGAATTACTTGCTTGACTCGAGTAGTCGGGGCATTGCGCACGCACCCCCTTCAAGACAGAGTGGAGACTCTTGTCTTCTCATGTACTCCGGTGTAGAGACGCCAATATATGGGGGCTCTTACGCATACGCTCGATATATTCACCTGAGACCTGAGACATTCTCCCGACCCTAACTGCTGTGAGAGATTTCACCGCGCATCATACTTGACTCATACAGAAAAGCGGGCGGTGCTTCACTGAGCAAGCACAGCTCTGAGCTCCAAAACATGACAGCAGCGTCCATGATCGGCTTTCTGGTGGAACGACTATTTTCGTAACAAGTAACAAGTCGCTGGGAGCCAACGCATAGCTGGGGGTGTGCCCAATACCATACGTAATCCCGCTGCTTTCATGGCTACCGCGGTCGCTGTTTGCATGCCAGCGTATTGTGATTCATGAAGTCGCGGGCTTTAAACCCGTGTTCAACTTTAGTTTGTAGATGTCAAGCATCGCCTACTGCTGCTGTTTGCTGTAGACTTAAGTAGACTGTAGGCTTAAGGAACAAATAAAAACACACACAGAAAGACTACCCATTCGAGATATACCCACAGTCGAACGGGATGTGGTGAAGTCTTTTCAGTGAGTGAAGGGAAACCGGGTACTGGACTTATTTCGAGTCTTAGTCTATACACTGATGATTTATACCAGTGATGCCAGCTGGTGCTAAGTACAAAAATATCTGTATAGGTAACTTACATTTTACAATACATCCCCTGTAGTTCTCTACTGGGTCAACGACAAAATATCGGGGAGAAACCCTCCGTTGTGTCGTGTATTGTAACATGTAACCTTCACAGGGGACACATGCGAGTGTACAGCAGTACAAGTAGTGTGAAAGCACGAGGCAGCCGTCATCTTGACCTGCGGCAGTACAGCAGTAGGGTAGATACATCGTTGTCATGAAAGCGGTATTTGCCACTTATCACCCTCCGACTACTTCCTGGCAAACAAACAACCGAGCCTTTCCTACCAAGCTTGCAACAGCGCTTGAGAAGCCCACCAGGTAGGTTGTGCTTCAAAGCCAGCAGCGCAAGTGGTGCAAAGACGGCGGAGATACGTACCGCCGCTGTGGGTGGCGTACAAGGCGTTCATCGATCGACCACACACACGCTTTGCCTCTTACGTGGATCAAAGGCAGCACTCACCCATCCCCGAATACAGAAAAACATCGCCGTCGTACTCTGCTTCTCTCCCCCGATAAGGATGCCGCTCTCGCTCGCAGCCGTGCTCCCACCGTGTGCATTACCACGGCCGTTCAAATCGACAGCCTACCGAGACGTTCCCGAACGTGAAACTCACGTCCTTCCTAGCTAATAACAGCGCAATCTTCGAAAATTAGATGCCCCACAAGCAGGCACAGTAGCGCACTGGCCTGAGATCGACGGGCGGTACGTGGCAGAGAGCAATGATATGCCGACACTCCTGTGCTGTACTTGCAGCGCAGCTGTAGACAGCTCAGCTCTGCAAGAGAGCTCTGACTGAGGGGGGTCGGCAGTCGGCATCTTGCCAACATCGGGAGTTCGATCTTTTTCAGATATCCGCGAGCGGGGTTAGGGGATACATCGTTCACCCTCCTGCCTTGCCTCGCTCATGCATGCTCGAAGCAAAAGCACCCTGCTGCGGTGGAAGTGCAGATGCCGCAGGAGGATAGGAGGACAGGAAACGATCGCTACAATACATAGTTGAAGCAGCAAGACCCTGGTCCGTCGGAACGCGAAGATGGCTTGGTTGTAGCGTTATTGTCTAGCGATGATCCTGAGCGACGAGATCCTAGGTGTGTCTGTTCCTCTGTCCGTGCCTCTTGGACGGCTGGATTCCCATGTTATTCTGGGAGTTGGTACTTTGTGACGTGCGGGGACTTTCGGCATTTGAACGTAGTACCTGTGTCTATCACCACGGAAGCCCGTTTGTTCACCGCCAAGCACTCTGCAAGAGTGCACCTATGGAAAAGGGGGCAATAATCTGCATGGGTTCCAACCTGCTTTTGGTCTTTCCAGTCTCTTCATTTCAGAACCCACTGAACAATGAGCGTGATTAAATGGATCAAACTACATATGCTTCGGAACTTCTAGACATACCGTATACACTGCACACAGAGCTGGAAACTGGGACTATCTATCTGCTGCAAACATTCATCGCCCCCAAAACACTTACTGTCTCTGTCCCGAGTGCGGGCGTTGCACTTACTAAATCAAGAGACAATCGCAGATCCTAAACTTGGGGTCTCCACAAGATATTGCTAAAACGATCTTTCACTGTCTGGCGTGCAACGCTAGCAAACGCACACACGCCTCAAGAATGCTACCCGAACACAAACAAACGCAACATGCACACACACAACACGGACAGACACAGACAGCAGCCCTCCCGCCGGGGGCTTCGGGCGAAGAGACGATGCTCTTTCGTTCTGATTCAGCTGAGACTCTTGAAACGTCTCGTCATCAGCGAACCGCGTGTGTAGCGAGCGCGGTGGTCCATGCTAAAAAAAGACTAGAGAAATACGTACTCACCCAAAGCGCGCCGCGGTGTTGTTTCGCCTCCTAGCGCAACAACACATTCAACCTGCACCACCCTCCCATCGGTCGGCAAGAAAACCACGACAAGATCCTATCGTATCAACGGGTGGTCCACACGGACGAACAATCTTCACTTCAAAGAGGCACGAAACACGAAATGCACGGGACTCTAGATTCTCAGTAAGGCGGAGAAGAGCGAGTTTGTTGCTTCGTTTCAATTGTCGCTGCAAAACAGAGCGCGTTGCCCCAGTGAGTGCAATCGTTTGCAAAGATAAAATATATCTACGCATACAACCCCCCTCCCCCCCATTCTGAATATTTATTTACACGAAAATAGCTCCACCCCAGCCCCCCAAGAAAGCTCGATGCATGGATGATTGCGCCAAGGTCAGTCCGATCCTGGCGCAGCGTGCTTTTGAAGACGGTACTCCCGCTGGTGTTGCTCCAACGTCTGCACCAGCACCGGAAGCGCGAGGGGGAACAATGCAGCGCCGGCGACACATGACGGTGCTGCGATTGAGTTGTTGTCTACGCAGCGCGAAACAACGCTCAATGGACGGCGCGCGGGAAGCACGCCAACCCAGTGTCAGCAGATGGGCCAGAGGCTGCTCCAGATACAGCTAGCTAGACGCATGCAGACCGACAAACCCCGTTTCCGAACCTCTTTTGAGGGCTCCCAGCGCTTTCGTGTCGCAGACGAGTGTAGATGCTTGAAACTGACCAAGCATATGCTAGATACTTGCAGACTGATCAAGCGGCAACCAACCAATAAGCTCGTAGCAACAAACATAAATTCAACAATTTCGTTGTTGTGGGCGTGGGAGTGTCTAGTGTGTGCTCACCTCCCCAGAAATGTGCAACAAAAGCGCATGCTCGACCATCTGCCCAGCCCGGATGGATTCGCACAAGGACCCCTGGGTCGCCTCTTCAAACGACGCTCCCGCGATGTGCCTGCCCGAGCCGTCTCGCCTCAGCCCGAACAGGTGTGCTCGCGGGAACTTGGTGACCTTCAGGATGCCTTCCATGTCGGCGGGCTGTTCCACGGGGTACGGAGGGAAAATCAAGGGTAACGGGTTATTTTATTGATTTTGTAGAATTCGTGTAGATAGCGTGAAAAGGCGATACAACTTGTCGAAGGGACACGAGCCACCGAAAATGATTTCAACGGCAAGGGTTCTTGTTTGTGGGGCATCAAACTACAGGATCATTGTTGGCACCACAAACCAACGCCCCTTGAGGCACATCGGTGGGGCTGCAGCAGCTTCCACGGAAGCACTCGACCCGGTAGAGCACCCACCCACAGGCAACCAGTTCTACGCGGCCTTCACTCCAGCTGCGGGTGTCTAGACATATGACATGTCTCATATTAATACATAGTCAGAGTGATCGTCGGCGAGCACACACACCTCGAGCAGAGGTCGCATTTCCAAGAGCACCCCAAGGGACATCTTGAACAGCAGAGGCCATCCCTCCACCAGGAACATGTCGAGGATCTGATTGGCGGGCAGGCAGGCACAGAAAGAATGCGTCGAGGGGGGGGGGGCGGGGGTGAACAACGAACACACGCGTTTTTGAAGGCAGCCGAAACACAACACGCAAGGCTCGATGCAAGAACCCTTGCAATTCCGTGCACCAGTACACTAACCACCCCTATCGAGAAAAATTGGCAAAAAACTTACCAAAGTCCACCTACACCGATACCGTACATGGGAGTGCAGAGTTAAACAACCTGAACAACACAACAAACGGGACACCAAGTACACAACGTGTTTTGTCAACGATTGGGGGCGTCCATGCGGTGGATGTACATCTGGGCAGCAGCTGCACAAACGTTTCGCCAGAAGCAGCGCTCCCAATTCTCGTCTCACACATGTCCAACTATCACAACCTCGATTCCAGACAAGGAACGTGCGCACCTATTGCACGTGCACGCGCTCGGCCAAAGTGCAACGATCAACGCTATCAATGTGTAGCTGGTTCCGGCGACGCATGCACCCTCTCACCTTCCGAGAGGTGCCGCGTCCGAAGACATCCGTAGACGTGAACAAAGTCACGAACCAGCGGCTGGTGAACATGCTCAGCTCGACGCCTTCGTCGGAAAGGTGCTGCCTTAACGAAGGGCAGTGTCGCCGCAACAGCCTTTCCAGCGAGAAAAAGCACAGATCGAGCCTCTCTAGCCCCTGGCACCACAACCCCTGTACAAGAAAGAAAAAAAAACAGACCCGGCAGAAGGGGTTGGCGGATTGTAATTGTGCAACAAGCTGTCGAGTGCGTGGTACCAGTAGGTCCTACACTCCCCAGAAATCGTCGCTGGGCTTGATGAAGAACACCCCAACTTTAACGGCTTTAGAATCCCCAGGTACAATGCTGCACGCACCCTACTCCGAACAGCCCAGTCAACACTTCACGTGCAGGCTGCTTTAACTGCCAACCGCCTACACAGATAAAATAGTGAGCCAAAACACTCACCCCCAACTCCAGGTTTTCGCACATCCCCGCCAGAATCCAGAAGGCGTTCTCATCGTCCCCTTCGCAAGCTTCAAGCAGCGCAAGCGCCACGAAATTCATGCCCTGCAATTGTTCAGCGCGAGGGCGATGCGCGAGACAGCAACATTTGACCAAAAGGCGAGGGCTGACGACGTGTGGTCGAGGCGAGGTTTTGGAGTCCAGCAGTATGTAGCCAGAACAATACGTAGTAAAATCAAGCCCGAGAGGGAAGCGAAAGGCAGAGGTGTCCAGTTGCGTTCCGTTCACGCATGGACACACAATTGACCGCAAGTGAAGCTAACCCTTAGGCCCAACAAATGTCCGCCACATCACTGCCCGCGGGTGCCTGGCGATGCACCCGAAGGCCTCGTAAGCCACAACCAACATTCCCGTAACCAACCGAACATACCTGGCAATACGAAACCCGGCGGTTGTACACCGCAAACGCTCGCAGAACTCTCCGCAGCTTATCCCGCATCCCGCCGCCGGTTGCACTGAACTTGTTCCTTACAATCGCTCCGCTTCCACCCCGCCCCCCCGCTACCACCTCCTCGCCTTCTGTCGGTGCCGAGTCTCGACCTTGAACTGGTGCTGTCGACGATCTCCTCCCATCACTTCCAAGGTCCTCGGCAACGGCACCACTGCTTCTGTTGGCCACCGCTTTCACGGTGCTGCTGCTGTTGCTGCTGCCGAACGACGAAAAACTCACCGAGAAGCGGACACGGCTCGACTCGTTGGCGGGAGGAGTACCGGTGTCGCCGATCTCTCCACCATCTGACGCAGCCGCCGCAGCGGTGTTCTTGGAAAGCACGCTGTCGAACTCGTTCACCGCATCCTCGCCTGCGGCATCATCGCCAGGACACGTCCGCAGAACGTCCGTCTCGATCTCTTCGAGCCACTTGTGACATCTCGGGGGAGGCGCTGGCGTGTCGCCGTCGCCGTCACAGCCCCCCGCCACTGCCCGAAGGCCTCCCGAGTCTCGGAAGAGGGCTGCCGCGCGTGCTCCTGCTGACGGTGAGGCACGGCCGTTTCTTTCTTCCTCTTCTAGAATCCGTTGCATCTCTTTCGCGGCCTGCGCAGGGGTGATTGTTAAGGTCGACGGGATTAATCAGAACCACGCGTTTTAGCGTTCCAGGGTTCATGAAGACGATTACTGAGCACCGGGAAAACGGACACACCGCAGGGTTCTCGCGCCTGCGTTCGTATCTAGCGACCGCACTGGCGGTTTCACCCACACACCGCCAGGCATGCGAACAACACCCGACAGCGCACTACTACCGGGGGGCACGAAAAAACACATGAACAAACAAAAAAAAACAAGAACAAAAACGTGCCACGCCTCAAAGCTCACCATGAATCGTAAGGGAAAAACACTGTCGCAAGGCTACAAGAGACACACGTTCCACCTGCTGCTGTGAACACGCGGATCTTTCTGAGGAATGCTGACAGACGGCAAAACTGTTGTCGTATCACACATCCAAACGTACTGCACACACCAAGTGGTGGCCCGGAAAGGAATCAAGACGGGCCAGAACACATCTCCACGGTGATCACCAGCAACTTCGTTCACTAATGAGAGGTCATCGGCTAATAGAACCTTCGCAGGTCAGTGCCTACAATACCAAAAAAGTCTTAACAGAGCCATCAACACTGCAGCACCCGCGTCATTCCTATCACCCCACTTACCACCGTCTCCTCCTGGTCTGCTTCTGCCTTCTCCAGGCACTCCTGGTACACGCCTGGGCGAGGGCGCTCCGAAGACTTCGATCCGTGCGCCTGCGGTACCAACGCGCGAGCAAGGAACGGGGAACGTTATTTTTTTATTGAGCTGAGTCGGGCAACAACAACAGTGACCACCACTCAGGCAAAGTGGATATCAACAACACGATGCAACCAGACCGGAAGGAGGGCGCGGCATCACAGGGTCCAGCCGGAAAAAAATCGAGTTGGAAGGTGTCTGGTGGGCACGTAGGTGAAAGATTGCGTCTTTGGCTCCACTCCACCCGTGAGTACGCACTCCACTCCGCACGGATCAATCGTGGACGGCTCTTTTTCTCCCCACGAAGTAGTCCGCACTAGAGCAGCCGCTAGCAGCCCATCATCAGTCATAGATTTCTCGTGCGTATTCGTACGACAGACAACGCGTTGCTCTTGTAGCGGAGGAGTGAGCAACAACCCCTGCGCACTACGAGCGATATTGTTGCACTCAACAACAACAACAGACAACTCCAACATAAGCATACGCTGCTGCTGCGTCAATTCTCACCTTCTGCACCCAACAGGGCTGGTCATACAAGATGTGCAGGTAAAACATCGCCCTCCGGTTCTCCGGCACGCCGTCCGCCAACCTGACGCAGCGCATCCACCGTTGCCTCCCCTCCTCCCCGGCGAGCGGCTCCCTCCAAGCACGGCAGACCACGACCGCCTTCGCCAACGCCACCACGTCTAGGTACTCCGAGGCCGCCTCTAGCGCCCTCGTCTGGGGGTCGGCCAGCTTGTCCTTCGACAACCACGGCTTCTCGCGGCGCCGCTGCGTCCACCGCCTCCTCGACCGTCTCTCGCTCGCAGCGTCCGCCACGGTCTCGGTCGCCGCGCTCTTGAGGGCTTCCTCAAGGGACGCCTTCTTTTCCCCGCCGTCCATGACGGCTGGTGCATCGCCGGCGTTGCGCGACGGCGCAAAAGCACCGCCGGCTGACAGTGCCGCGGCGGCGGCCTCCTCCCCGCCGGCGGCGGCAGCCAAGGCGGTGGCGAAGGACGTCCCAGTGCCACCGCCGGCTTCTTCGTTGTCCCCGTCGTCGTTCGGCGGGGGCAGGGGATGTCTGTCACTCGCTTTAGCCCACCAGCTCAGCCTCCACGCTCGCGGGGACTCTTTGCAGCTGCTGCCGTCCGAAATCGCCGGAGAAGCAGTGATCTTGCAGAGCGGCGACGGAGTCCTGCGCTGCTCGATGGCCACCGGCGGCAAAGGGTCCTCCACCCCGTCCTCTTTCGGGCCCGGCTCCGGCAAAACTGGCAGGATGGATGGAGGTGCCCGCGAAGGAGAGCAGTGGACCAAGTAGGGCGATCTTCGGGTCGGCACGGGGCTGCTGATGTCTTCGGCTTTAGCTCCTTCAGCAACGCTGTCACCGCTGTCCTTGACAAGCCCCCCTCCCCGGCCGCCATCGCGCTCCTCGTCGACGCGGTCCCGACCGCCTTTCACGCTGCGAGCACTTTCTGGCGCACCGTCGTTCTCCGCAGCAGGCGGAACCGTGCCGTCAACATCGGAAGCTGGCGAAATAATCCCGCTTCTCGAAGCCCCGCCCTCTTCCTTCGACGTCTCTGCGACCCCCACTTCCGGGTGGGCTCCAGGCATCAGCTCTACGCCTTCCTCTTCCTCCGCACCACTCGGCGAGCCCGCCGCACCCTTACCGCAACTGTCTCCGCCCTCAGGCTCGTCACCATTGCTCTCTTCTTCCGGTGGCACGTGCCACTCCTCCTCCTCTTCGCTCTTGTGCCCGTTGTCGTTGGGCATGAACGAAGTTCGGTCCAATGGTGCCATCAACGTCGACCTTCTCCCGTCCCACAGGTCGCCTGCATCGTCGGACCCGAAGCCTTCGGTGGTGTTACTCCCAGTCTCGTAGTCCGTATCTTCTCCCTCTGTCTCCACCTGTGGCTCTACACCGCTGCCGCCGCCGCCGCCGCCGCCGCTGTCGCTGTCGGCAACGGCGCCTGTTGCCGAGGCGTCACTCCCCGCATCTGGGCTCGAGGTTGCCGCCGCCTCCGTCGCTAACTCTGCAGTGTTGCCGTTTCGCAGCGATGAATTCCCGTCCCAAAAGTCCTCTCCTCCAAACAACAGCTTCCCTTTGGGGCTTTTCGCCGAGGATGATGCCGTTGCCCGCGGGATCGACCGGAGACAAAGCTTCTTGTCGTCGTCACCACCGCTGTCGTACTCGTCTGCGTTATCGTTGAACGGCGACGGCATCCGCTCCTCCTCCAGCAACTCTTCGCTTGCGGACCTCGGCCTGTTTGTCTGGAACGAAGAGGCCAGGCGCTTAAACCACCCGCTGTTGCGCCGTCGCTTCGAGGAGTCGTTGCGAAGCCCATCGTAGTCTCCGCCTTTTTTCCACTTGCCCTTAACTGTATCTCTATCATGTATCCCTGTGCTAAAAACCGCACTCTTGGCTTGGCTGCCAGCCGCGCCCCCGTCCCTCTCCTCCTTTCCACCTTCAAAAGCTGCATCGGTGGAAACCACGACCGCTTTGGGCTTCGCTACATGGCTAGCCGCAGGTGGTTTCCTGGTGTCTTCTGCAGTTGAGCGGGTAGTGTTCTGAGGAATGAAAGAAACATATTGGGGGAGGGAAGGGGTTGTCACTTACGCGAGTCGATGATAGAGTAGGACTGGTGATTCGAGGCTCGAGGATACTGAAGACATGCACGAACTGCGTGCTCGCGACAACTTAAGCTGCAATAGCAGACACATACCACGGTCGTCACCGTACTAGAGTAGCTCGTGCGACCCAGATATCCCGCACCCCCCTCCCCCACGATTCGGATGCACCACAGCGCCACAGGCGTAAACTTAAGTGTGACACTTTCTGTCCGCGGTGAAACGCATCCGACACCACAAGAATGAGCAGTACTTGGTGTCACCTGAAGGTCGCCCGTCGCCCGTGACAGAACATCATCGGGTGATTCCCACACCACCGACGAAGAAACGCAACGGCTCGCCCGCACGAAGAAACCCGCTTGCGCTGCCTTGAGCTGAGGGGCAGCAGTCCGTGGACGGCAAGGATTTGGCAGAGGTGGGAAGGGACGAGACACATTAAGGACAAGCCAACACATGATCGAAAAGCAACACACTGCCCGATATCGTTCCACCGCTCTTGATTCCTGCACCATTCAGAAGCACCACATCCGTGTCTCTTGAGTTCCCTAGAGAGTTTAAAGGCATAGATATCATAGGGCCGGAGACCTTCTGACACATGCTCATCATGCAAATCACATCCGCGCCTTTCGATCTCACACAGCGGAATGCAGAGAGGCGAAAAGCTTGTGTGAGACAACTGCTGTGAACTAGGTAGAGTATCTGCTCATGGTGGGGGGCACCGTCCTGGACTAGGCTCGTCAAGGTTTCAGCGCAGCATCAGGGTTGAAGAACGTTTTTGGGGTCTTCTCAAGACACAGCACACACCACCATGACGTCACGCTTCTCACCGAAGACGCGGCCTCTCGCAGACACCGCCCTCTTTCTGCCAACCTCTTTGTCAGCACCTCCTCCGCCCGGCCATGCGCCTCCGCAAACGCGTCCGAAGCCCCCACCACTCTATCCCCCAACACCACGACCTCCGGTGGCGGCCCTCCACTGACGTTGTCGAAAATGGAAGATTGGTACCGTGAAACGGACTTGGCGTAGTCGCTGTGAGCCTCAGCAAGTCTATCAGCGATGAGCAATCGTTCGCGGAGGACGGCCTGAAAGAAAGGCATCAGGGGATGGGATTAGGATGCGGGGGGGGGGGGTAAGGGTGCGTGAGAGAGGACATCAAAGAGGGGCGATGTGCTCAAGACTCGAGAGGAGGGGTGTTGGATTGTTAGACCATGTAATACCTGCCGCGACGGATTCCCCGGCTGTCGAACCTTAAAATCGTCACATTGCGATACTGCTGCTATCGGTGTGTGAGGTTACCCTCCGGCACTTTACTCGCGACATGCTGCACGTGTCATGCGCAGGGTATCCCAGATACCCTCTCCAGCTGATGACGAGAAACAACGCAGGATGAAGGGTCCATTCTCCACATGTTTGCCCAAGTTACTCAGAACGTTTGTTCACCCACAGCTGGACTTATGCATGTCCGGATGTGAGCTGTCTGTGTATATCAAGCTCACCTGCACGTCGTTGCGACCTTCCAACACCCGTGCAACAGGCTTCACAACCTACGAGAAACGAGGAGATACGACAGCAATCGGAGGTGGGGAAGACAGGGAAGGGAAGCCGCGGGTGTTCGGTAACCAACAGCACTTCTGCGCAGCGAAAAAACAGAAGGGCGTCGCGTTCCAATACTCAAAACTGTGCCAACGCATGATGATGGGGGCGAATGAACGGTCTTGATATCTGGTCCTCCCCGCCACAAAACGAACGAATACTCGATTCTGTTTCAATCCTTTTCACAGGTGGCCATGAAGAAGCGAGTTGCCGTTGGACAAGGCGTATGGTATACTCCTCCGACGCCACGGCTCCATGTTATCGCACGACAACAAGAATACGTATGGAGAAGATGACAAACCGCCCGCCACAAGACAAAACTATCGATCGACATTTCCGTACCTGCACCCTCAGGTGCTCCTCCATCTCGTTGGCGCATTCAGTCAGCTGCAGCGCCAGAAGCTTCGCTCGCATCGACTCCCCGCTTGCTCTCCTACCCGCGGTTGACGCTGGCCCGTCCCTTCCACCACTAGCCTCCGGCTTCGCTCCGCCTTTTCCTTCGGCACCCTCCGTGGCTTCCAGCCCGTCCCCACCACCATCACCATGATGGCCATGGGCCAGCGACGATCGTGAGTCCGTCCCTGCTGCCGCCGCCGCCGCCGCCGGGAGCTGCTTCAAAGGGCCGGTTCCTCCCGCCGTCCTGTCCGAATCAAGTTCAAGGACAGCTCCGAAAGCACTTGCGGCGTCCCCAGCACCGCGACACATCTAATTACGGAACGAGGGGGCGCGGTGGGAGATAGTTATCCCCAGGCTTTACGGAATAAGCGTGCTGTACCTCTCGTTGAAGGTGGCGGCCAAGACACCACTCGGCCGTGCTACGAACCGAACCAGTCGTGAGTTGGGGAGATGAATGTACATGATGCAGATGCAACAACAGCAAAATCGTGCTGGCACCATGGCGTTTGCAAGGCAACAAGCAGAAGGCTCTCAGGAACGCATGCATAGCGCCAAGACTGAACAACATCAAGTAGCACGACCGGCACCAGGACGGCGCAGAACATAAGCCACGCAACAGCTCAATCGAAAACCGCGTGCGCCAGAGAGTGGTACGGATGCATCTGTTAATGCGGGGTACAAAAGGCTGAATCTACTGCTGTAGTACCCAGTAAGTACTCCTGCGACATTTCAAGTGTCCTTTGAATTGTACGCAACGCGCAATCATCACAAACAACTTCAGCATTGCTGTTGTTGGCAGAGAGGTGAACCAACATAAAACGAACAGCGGGTGCATCAGCGAGGGCATACAACACACCTCAACCAGAGCACTCCTGTAAGCTTGGACATAAACCAACCTCAACCAGCTCACGCGGCCGAGGTATGCATACCGACCAACCAACGCTTGTGTTCTGCCCCCGTTCGTCAGGAACTTAACTGCTGTCTACGGCAACCTTATAGCTCCCTGTTTTCCAAACCATGCACTGCACCTGTCTGGTTCCTTTGATGAAAGCCTCCACGCTGGGGAGCAAGGCCTGGCATGCTTCCTCCGATGCTTTGAGCTGGAGCGTCAAACTTCGAAGTCGTTCGTCCAGCAGGTCCGACGCACCTGATCCCGCTGCAGTGGACACAAGAGGGAAAGGGGCACAGAGAGACAGAGAGAGAGAGAGAGAGAGAGAGCAACACCAGCGAGAGAACATATTACCTTGTGGAGGTTGTCAACAGGACAACATTGCGCAAGTGACAGCCAGACAAACGTGTTCTCCACCTCGGCCACAAAGAGAGAATGTCTCATTCCGACACGCGCGCACACGGCAACTCACGAACGTACGACGGTTTCCCTCCATGCCCTAGCGCTGAAAACGCTGAAAACGATTGCCTCAACACCAAGCCAACGCGCAGCTTAACCGCTCGCACGAAACTCACACTCTGGCTTCAGGAAGAAAGGCATCGCGTCTCAGCCTGGCATCGCTTGTCTCTAGTCAGTTCGCTCGTTCCCTGGAGCGGCGGTGTGTTCTTGCAATTCCTGTCTTCTCTCTTTCCCCGGTGAACCGGGAGGCTCCGCGGCTGGCGCCCAACTGGAGAGCATAGGCTATCATCTGTATCGTATTCCTTTGCGTGTAGCCCCTCCGAAGCGGACAGGGCGGACAACCAGCACCACACCGCGGCTTTGGGTGCGTGGTAGAGCACAAAGGACGGCAGCAGCAACAATGCGATCTGATACGAAATTGAAAATCGCACGTCGCAAGCACACGCTCGGGCTATTGAAGTGGCTATACTCTCGAAGGAACGCGCAGCTCGACGGCACAAAGCTATCCCTTGAGTACCGCCGTTCATTCGTTGACCACGATACGCGGAGTTTGACGTATGGAGAGGTAAGCACTACTGTACCCTATGCATATGCTATGTACGCCCTCCTTCGGCATGCATCTCGGTATTCGGGCCTCGCTGTCAGTTGTGCGCTGTTCAAATGAACCCGCAGTCCCTGCTATGCCGGAGATGCGAGGGAGGACACATGCATACAAACACGCCAGTTTGAATTTCAAATGAGTTTCCCCGCACACCTCGGTTGTGGGTGCATGTGTGCATGTTTGCAACTCCAACTAAGGAGCTAAGGAGTATCAATTACCCACCCTCCGGCGGTCGCGTTGCCGAAAATTCAAGTGATCTACCTTTCGCCCCTTCTCAACCACCTTGTCTGAGCCCGTGCAATGAACAGCCGTAGTAAATAGACGAAGTTGGCGGCGGGTACCCTCAACACAGCAGTGAGACACCTTACAGCGGTACTATAGAGGGATACCCGGCTGCTGGAATTGAGAGACTGCTGTAACACACCAACTATTCCTCGCAGCAACATGCATCGATTTTTCTGGGTTTCTCTCTCTCGCTCGGTATCAGGTGGATGTACCGGACTTCTTGTCGATCCTGGACTTGGTCAAGCCCCAAAATGAGATTTTTGTAGACCTCGGATCCGGCACTGGCAAAGCGGTACTGACGGCTGCGTGCGGGTTCCCTGAGTTCTTGAAGGTGCGTTGTTGCCATTGCGTTGCTGTTGTTGGTGCGGGTGGCGATTGCGATTGCTTGGGTTGTGCGGGCTGGAGCTGAAAGAGACGATGCCCGACCCGATCAAGATGCTGTTCCAACATGAACCACGCGCTGTCTAATCCAATCGTAAGCAAGCGACCAATATATATGCCCTTGAACATTCCTCCGCATATCAGCGTCAGCAACAACACATCATTGCTCCTCAAAAATAAAATCGTTTTTGCCCATCCCTCGCCCCCGCTGTTCCAAAAACACATCGTGCAATGGCTGCAATACCTTAAGTGCCGAGGGATTGAACTGGTTCAAGGATTAGCAGACGCGGCCGCCGACCACCTCCAAACTGCGAAGACGTTCCTCGCTAAGCCTCCTGCCCCCGCGCAGAACGTGGTTTCTACGAACGACGTTAGGGACGCGACGTTGGCTGGCGAAAGGGCTACACCTGTGGCTGCTCGCGCATCTCTTGGAAAGGAAAAGCTGGGCCAAGGTGGCGGCGGTGGTCGTAAGGGGAAAACAGCATCTGGAAGCAAGGCTTTGAATCAGGGCTTGAACGCCTGTGACTTGGAGGCCCTTATCGCGGAATTGCTAAGCCGACAACCGTCGGCCTCACACGCAGGGGGGGAACGAGAAACGGGTAGAAACGTCACCGCAACTGCTGCGAGAGTTTTGCGCGAGGCAAGCGCCGAGGAAATCGCTTCTTGGCTCGTCCGCGAAATGGGACATCGACGGCAAGTGGATGGATGCCCACCTGTAATCTGTGTTTGTGTGTCTTGCTAAGTCCACTCACGCGTGATCGAGGTGTGGTTGTTGCAGGTGTGCATGTAACATAGCGCCCAGCAGTTGCCTTGCATTGCGGCACTTGCGATATATTCAGCAGACCGCCACCGAATGTGGGTATCACCTTGCCGTCTGAGCCTGCCGATGAGCTTGTTCCCGGGTTCCGTTTGAGAAACCTCTATCGCGCGAGCACTGTGCAGAAGGTTGCCGCACCCCAGGGACACGATATCATCGTTGTTGTCCCGCGCTTGCCACGTATGCGTTCTCAACAGATACAAGAGTAGCTTGCGCGGTTACGGCGGCCTCCAGAAGTTCCTGGTCGCTAGGAGACGAGCGAGCGACGCATCGAGCCGTTTGTCAATCACGGAAGACGGAACCAGGGTGACCGTCTGCCTCGCGGACGAATGTCCCTCCGCACTTCACCCGTCATCATCGCAACCAAGGGATGCTGCGGCTGGTGAGCGATGCGAGGAGGAGACGACGCACCGCAGTGGGTTCGTTGAGCAAGATTGTCGGGGAGCCTGCCGCGACACCCACGGCGACGCGGAAGCGGCTTCCAGCTCTGCTGCTACGGTCGTCCCTTTGAGTCACTCATCAGAGATCGACAACGGGAAGTCGTGGGAAGACGGAAGTCCGCCTCCGTCTACTACTTGTGAAGCATTGCCGACGGCTTGTTCTTTGACTCCTTCCATGCTGGGTTTATCGTGTGATGACACCACTCCCGGCGGCGGGACAATCTGCAAGGACGGAAGCGTCGAGGATGTTGTCAACAGGAGGCGTTTGCCGGAGCCGGGTCCGCTCACCGCCGAGTCCCTAGCAGGAGTGGAGCTTATTTGTGGAGATATTTTTGAGGAGGCATGGTGAGACATTACCGAAATTTCGATTTTCAACTCCTCTCTCCCCTGTTCAAAATGGATGTGCTTCGAGGCTACCAACTGCTGGCTTGGCCACCGCGGTACACATGGAACAACTCGGTGCTGGCGCTTGTGATTCGCACCATTCCGAGGTGTCCCTACCGCAAAAGCGCAGCATTTCGAATCGTTTGCTTTCATTGCAGCAAAGTAACGCCGTTGCGTTCTCAGGACTCAGGAACGCCCATAATCGTGCTCATTGGCCGATGACGCACTGCATGAGTCCTGTCCTCTCGCTGCCCTCGTGACGCTGTTAGCGGCTAGGCCCGATGGGTGCCTGGTCCGTCTGTAATAGAGACGTGGCTTGACACAACGCCAGCTGACATCGACACCCAACTCGTCTCGTAATTATTCCTTGCTGTTCCAACGTCGACCTCGTGTTTGTTTCCGCAGGGACGATGCGGGGGTCGTGTACGTGGCCTCCTTGCTTTTCGACGAGAGTATGATGGCACTCCTGGCTCAGCGCGTACACAGGCTCCGCCCGGGCGCTCGAATTATTTCTCTCAAACCGATCCCTGCTCCGGAATCGAGCAGGGAGCTAACCGGCCCACGGGATGTTGGAGTGCGTGAAGGCGACAAAGGCGTACGGCAGGATAGCAGTAGAGATAACGAAACTGCCGGGATTGATCCGGGGTTGAGGCTGTTGCACGAGGGTGTCTTCCGCATGAGCTGGCAAATGGCTCGCGTCTACATCTACGTGAGGTTGTGAACGTTGCAACTTTGGCGGCTCTCTACTTGTAACGGTACTGCTGAGAGTACCACGTCGTAAAATGTACTCGGAGGAGGTGCCGTAAGGGTTGTGTATTGTAGCTTGAGTTGCAGGGGTATCCGTGCCGTGTCTGGGTTTGAAGTTTCATGCCAAACGGTACGAGACATATATTGGACATTTCGCTTGGCGTCACGTCTACAATCTCTGGTCCGTCAAAACAATTGAGAGGCATTCGAACGCCGACTTGTACCAGAAATTTGCCTGTAACCTGGAAGATTGTTGAACGGTGCCGTTGTGCCGGAAGTATCCCGCTTATATGTACCGTGTCACAAAACATACCTAGTCCAAGCAGTTATTGGATATCGCCGTCAAGTACCCCCCCCCCCCCCCTCTTTGTTTCACCCCCCCTTCTTGTACTTGTCCTACATAGTGACCACGGAAGGCATCCGGGTCAGTTAGACCGGCACGGATGTTCGAAGGCACTGAATAGAGACCGGACCGGTTTTGAATGTCAAGACAAACGGCCTCGTGTGCACCCATATGCGAGCACACCGCCGTACATCGTGTTATTTGTAGCACGTGAGCCATTGCTCAGCCTGACGCCAGCTCCTTCAGCTGTCCCGCACGATTGTGGCCGCACTCATTCCGGAAATGGCCTGTATACGTGAAGACCACGCTGGCTCGACATACACTCACCAGAATCACTCAAGTCTTATCCCACGCATTTTTTGTGTGACAATCAACAAGCTCGCACGATTGATCCGCCCAGCCCGCACAACATCGAATCGAAGAAATGAGGCCGCCACCGCGGACACAATTGCTGCAGTGATTCTTGCGGCTTGCCTGCGCTACCGTCAGGCGTCCATCTCAATCTGCACAAACAAGACCGAGCGGCAGAGGGGAACAAACAGGACGTCCACGGTGAGAAATGGGGAACGCATCCATCCAACATGCATCCAATCTTGGAAATCAATCAACGTGCAGTCTGAGCGGAATCAACGTGCCGTCTGGGTCTGAGCACGTACCGTAAGTGACACAAGATAGCACACTCACAGAAGATAGCACACCCCGAACACACCTCTCCAGGAAAGCACACCCGGTCATGTTTGTTTTGGACACGGAAAAAAACGCCAATTTATCACACCGGTGACACAAGATAGCACGCCCCCTACAGCTCCGCCGCATACTCAATCACGGAGCCCCCATTACCACACCTGGTGGTTAGTGGTACGGACGTGCACAGCCCGACGTGCAAACCCACGAACAGAGGCACACAGCTGGTATGCACACAAACAAGGACAATACTGTACCCTCCTGGACACAGCCCTGCTGGAAGTGACGAGGCCCAGACCCATAGAAGTCTGCGCGATTGATTTTATCACATGTTTTGTTTTCCACGACCCTTTCTTGTCGCCGCCCTCGCGGCCCTCGTATCAAACCCCTCAAAGGAATGTGACGGCAACAATGTGATGACAAGAGAGATAGCACACACCCTTCCTTGTTAATGACACCTCTCCAAGGAGTGTGTGTTTTTGCAGAATATAGATGTATGCATCACACACACCCTCAATACATCACACCCCCTTTCTAGGAATATTTTGAATGTGGGGACAGACATTAGTTGGCATTGGAGACATCACACCCCCTTTTCATTACACCTCTTCAAGGCAAGGAATGTGGGAGCCGCAATCTGCTGGCAAAGTTGTTTTCACACCCCCCTTCATTTATCACACCCCTTCAATGAATGGTGGATCAGGTAAATATATTATCACCACATCCCTTTTCATCATACCCCCTTGATTTATCACACCCCTTTGATTGCGGGCTCTGTCAACGTGCACATTATCACACCGGTGACACAAGATAGCACATCTATTCCAGGAAAGCACACCCGGTGATAAGTTTTTTAAACTCTAAAATCTTATCATCGGGGTGGGCTTTCTTGTGTCACTTACGGTATAGTCCTTGTGCTCCAGCATTGCTGAACAATACGGGAACAACTCCTCTTGACAGCCGCGAGTGGTTTCGTTTTGATTTAAGACGATCTTAGCCGGTGGTGCATACGCGATGCATCAGTCTCCTTTCCGGCAGTTTTACTAACCGCGAATGCAATGAGGCCAGAATTTTACTCATCACCAGATTCTGTACGAACGGTCACCTGCATCCGACACACAACGCTGTGTAACGCGCGACAACACCGATGTTTTGCGACAGACATCAAAAGCTCTCACATCGTCCTTGGGCTGCTTAGGCTCCAGATCTTCCCCGTACTGCACTATGTAGTCGGCGTGGTGCAGCACTAGGGCGATGTCCTCCTCGTCTCGAATATCCAGCGGCAAAAAGTTTACCTTCGAGATTTCACCCGACCAACATTGGGAGTTCGAGACATGTTAGAGGCGTGCCGACAAAAACTAGTGTCACTTGACTAGCTTGAACGCACGACACAAACCGAAATTGAAGAGGTACGCCCAACTCGGACCCCACATAATGTTGAATCTGGCGAGGACGACATCGGTCGCAACACCGATGAGGACCCATGTCTAACTCAAGGGTACGCATACGACCAGAGGAACGCATTTCTTTGTTTCACCCGGGTGTGATCGATCGACACCTTGACGAGTACGGCGCGCTTCTAGAAGGTGACGGTCCACACACCACGCACCATTGTGTAGTCGTCCAGGACGCCCGAGATAGCCTCCGTAAGTCGCGCCAATCTAGGCAGTGGCCCTCTTCGAGCCCCTTCCACGCCTCCTTGCGCCCCCAATACTTGTAATCTGCCCCGTGGTTGCAACTCTGTCACGAGGATGCGATGTTGGTAAGGGGAGTGACAGGGTAGTGGCACACGCAGGATGTCAGTGTTACCAGTCTACGTCAGCGCATTTCGCGCGTGGTAAGTAGGAGGACAGATCCTTGTAACGTTTTCGGCAGCAGCTACTCAAGGTAACATATGAACATATGTCAGTTTGTTGTCTTCGTTTCCGTCGACACAAACACATACCACAGCATGTCCCCCGTCGCCTGCCCCCCTCCCTCACCTTCTCTTTGTGCCGTGGTCGCACCAGTCCCCACATCCGCGGATTCTTCGCCGCCCGCCCCTCGACCCAACCCCTCGTCGTCCATAACGTTCTCCCCCTCGTCCTCGTCCTCCTCCCCCCCCCTCTCCCCCCTGTTGAATGGTGCCGTCCCGAAATGTACTCCCCGTTGTGCTTGTGGATAGTGCATCGAGATCAACGCGGCGTTTTCCGTGTCTAAGAACCGCTCCACCTGGACAGCGCGCAAGTGCCGCACGGCAGGACTCGCGTGTTCAGACACGGCACTAGGAAGGATAGGACGGAGGTGTGAAATGAAATGGCCGCACGTCGTTCACGTCGTGGATGGATCCAAGACTAGCTATTACAGCCCGTGTCTGAAGCATCCCGAAAAGCTTCGGACAGGCGGAAAGACGAGGACCGATTTTTTTTTCAACTTGTAGAACGTTCTCTAAAAATAATGCGGCCTCTTTTTGCGGCGATTTACAGGGAGCAAGCACCCACTCGATGAAAAAACCAAGACATTTGGACAAGCAGCGGCACCGCAATGTGGACAGAGTGAATGTAGCCCCGGTGAACTCCCTAAGCTTTCGCCGTGTCGGCCTCACCTCGCTTCGGTCCGCTAGATCACACTTGGTGAGCACGTTCAAGTGCGGCAGCTCGAGCTGCACCATCGCGCTGAGGCTCAACAGTGCCCCGCTCATGAACTTGGCAGGGTCGGTGATGAACGTGGCATCTAGTAGAAACACCGCGCAAACGTTGTAATTCCAAGACTGCCAGCAAGTTACGACGAGCGGGAGGGGACGGGCGGGTCCAGAACGACTGCTGTAAGCCGTGGGCGGCGATGTTGTAGGAGGGAGTTCGGCACCTGTACCCGTGAAGAATGTTCATGGCAAACCAGACCTAGCTGTCGCCCTCGCCACGTAGTCTTACCTTGAGCTGGTCCAGGACATTGCGCATAACCGGGACGTGGCTGTACAGCTCCACCTTGGGGATGACACACACACACACACACAGAGAAGAGAGACAGAGAACAGCGGTGGAGGGAGAGAGGGAGAGCGAGACAGAGACAGAGACAGAGAGAGAGACAGAGACAGAGACATACACACAGACAGACAGACAGACAGAGAGGCGGACATTCATGAGGTAGTACAGAAATTTCCCCGAGACGGGCGGTACTGGATGCACGGCTACAACGAGGCACAGCCCATTGCACAGACGCGCTATAGCTCAACGAGGTGTACCCTACAATCACGCAGCCCTGCCTTCCAGATCGACACACCTAGTAGGGCAACGAAAAACTGCACCCAACCGTTTCCCATGGACTAGTGGTGAACACAGCGGAGTGGCGGACACGAATCAACATGCAACGCAGCAACAAGTGCCACCGAGAACACATCTATCCGACCTTGAGGTGGGACGAATCAGTAGTTTTGCCTCACGCCAAAGGGAAACGCTCCATCGGGATAGAGGAAGGTGAGCACCTGGCCGGGGCAGTCGAAGATTATGTATTCGTCATCATCAAACTTATCCAGCTCGTCCTTGAGCCAGTCCATATTGTCCAGGAGGTACTCCATGCAATAAACCAGCCCCCCGTTCGGACCTAATTCCAGCTCTTCCATGGCGTCCTCAAGAGATATCAGGTCTGCAAAAATCGCAGCGCCAGGCATTCCAAGACATGGAAGTCGTTCCATAAAGCGGCCACAGGCTTCGGAAGGTTGACTGGCCGCAAGGCGCACTACTGTCTCACGCGACCTCAAGATAAGCAAGGTGTGCACTCGATGGTTGAGGGTCGGCTGTGAGGAAGGCCATGCGCACGGCTTGTATTCAGCTTGGTGCCACACATTTCCGTTTCAACACCTCTCAATGCCGCTGAGATACAGTACTAAATATTATACCCGGTAGGGTAGCGGTGTACCATGATACGACGTAGGAAGTATATAAAACCCATGTTTAGCACGTTGACCCAGCAGTGGTTCGCAGTCGCCAACCGTCTAATCATGGTTGGCCTGGCTGACATTAAACATACCACAGAGGTAGACAAGACTTTATCGCAGGACATTGGTACAACGAATCACCCAATCTTAAATTTTCAAAGCCAACTCCGAACGAATCGTACTGTAAATTGACAGCCGTATTGCATCAGCACTCCTCGCAATGTCTCCCACCTCTGATATCGAAGGCGACTTCGTACTCGAAGGCCTCCGCGGCAGGGTCGAGGTTGACGACGTGCACCGTCCTCTTGGCGTTTTGGCAGTGCTCCTGCATGATCTTGCAGTACGTCGACTTGCCGGTGCCCGCCGGCCCCATAACCATCTGGGTTTGTTGTCAAGGGAAGTCAAGGGAAGTCAAGGGAAGTCAAGGGAACAAAAGGGACTTTAGGGTTGCCACCTTGTCTAGACCTCCGACACGTGTTGCATCGTTTCATTCGCGGTGGAAGTCGGCCGATGGATAAGCCCATCTAAAGAACAACACCTCCATTAATACTGCTGTAGTACTCGGAAGCTCGAAAATATATACGCGGGGAACGGTGGCTCCGCGGTCAGCCCTCACTACTGCGGAAGTGAAAAATTGAAAACGTGCAGACGATGTACACGCTCACCAAGAAAAGGGTAAAGGTTGTTGCAATGATGCATTTGTTTCGGTCCAGATCGATGCCTAGACTACAGGGTGCACCAATCTTTGCACCCCGCCCGAAGACCTATGTTGCCACTGTAATCACCTCTAAACACTAAGGCGTGCACGCTTTGGAACCCAACATACTTTTAACCAACACTACGTTGCCCGGGACTGTCAGGTCTGCGGCTTGCTGGCTGTATCGCTGTAAACGCTATTCAGGCTACACTGCAGTGTGTGGCGGAGGTGTGGCAGATCAAACTTGCGTTGTGTGTGCCTTCATGTATGTGCTTGTGGTAGAGCCAGCAAGGCGTCGTGAAATCGGATCGCATAATTGCCGACCTCCCCGCGGACAATACAGGGAGCATAGAAGGGTCTCGATGCCTCGATCTCCTCAATCTCCAAGTTGAGGACCACCTCCCTCCCCCAACTTCTCACCACCGCACGAAGCCAGCACAACTAGCGAATATTGGCAGGATGGAAAGAGTGGGGGCATGCAGCTATTTTCTCACGCACCTGGCAACACTTTCCCATCGCGCCACAGCCAAAGGCCCTCGCGAGATGTTTGTGGGGGGGCGTCAAGCGTCAAGCCGTCTCACAGCAGTACCAAACTGCCGAAAGGAGTTCGACGAATCGGTTTCGCTGTCATCCCAGAGGGGGGGGCAATCATGCGCGATGTTCGCGGAAGGGAACAGATCGAGGAGGAAGGTCTCTCTCTTCGTGTATTTTCCACGGATGAAGCAGAGCACAACCAAGCATTTGAAATAGAATAAGAGCGATGTGCGTTTTCGTAGTCACGGTCAGAGAATGGAGTCAAACAGCAGTCAACAATACATAATACGAAGTACTGCTGTAGTCCTTTTATTCTTATTTTTCGCGAAAAGTTTAGCCTTATTATTTTCTTAACGGAATTTTTCTTAATGCGGGCCACTATACAGCACCATTTTACATGTGCACTGTGGCTCGGCGTGTGAGCAAAGAAGATGGGGAGGAAGGTGGGCTGATAGGGGAGGTACACGATGTAGAAGTTGATCAAAAATGTGGGTTATCATTCGGTTATCATGACTAAAAGTTGTACAGGGAGGGAGGGAATTGCGAGACAGCAATGAGACGACGGCACGGGAGTTTCGTGAAGTTGTGAAAACAATACACCCCCAGTGGCAGCATTTTGGCGATTATGATCATCCGGGGTGTTATTTTGTAGGGGGGTGCGGTTTTACGTGTCAACATATTGCAAGATCCGAGAGCACTTCAATACGTAGGGTGGTGAGCACAATGCAGTTTGTAGAAGATCGCGTCAGACTTCTTTGGCTAACCAAGTTGGTGTGCGTCAAATGGGCCAAGTTCCGATGGGCAGCATCATGGTATCAAGCTGTAAACCTGAGATACCGGTTCGTCTTCCAAACTGAAGGGACAAAAAAGGTAAAGGGGGAGAAAGGTGTTTACTGTGGCGAGAGATGCGAAAGGGTTTCAAAACTTCGGCATCCAGTCGAATACAATATGAGTCCCCTAGAGATGTTTGGTTGACATGATTTCTAGGTACGTTGTACAAAATTGGGTAGGGAGACTCGAACTACACAACGTGGACTGCTGTTGTACGTTGTGAAGTTGCTTTAGTTCGTACCAAACAACAACGCAGTCCTCGCCAGGCACACACGGCAGCCTGCCAAGCACACAGGTCTGTGGAGATGGCTGCCAGTTGCTCCCGTCTGGCCGACGACAGAAACAATGCCAAACGTTTTGACGATCCATTGGAGACACCAAAGCGGTCCCATTATGCTTTCCACACCTCGAAGCGAAAAAGTTTCTCGAACCCCACAAGCAACTCATTCGGTTCACGAATACCACTTTCTACAGCTGAATCTATAGCAACGCGTCCATCTACAGCAGAAAAATGGCAGACTGTCAGGTAGAGACACAAGCAACCGCAAGCACCAGCCAAAGCTCCTTGTAAAATGAAAAGCATAAACGACACAAGCGATGCATCCAAATCAAATCTCCACGCGAACCGTGTTCATGTCAGTCACTCCCCGCCTTCTTCTTGCCATTTCCTCCACCAGGGGCGGACCACATGGCCTCCGCTGGGACGCACACGACCCTTCGCCCGGGCAACACGACAGCCGTCAGCGACCGCCCGTAAACGCAACCGGTGTCTAGACCGGTGGCAAACGCCTCTTTCTGAAACCCTCGCTTCGCGTCGTGTCCAAAGTACACGTGCTCCGGCCCCTTCCAGGCCTTGGCCCAGGCCAGACCTTCCCAACAGTGAACACGAGAGATAGGGAGGGAAGGCGGGCGCGGAGTCGTCCAAGGGCAAAAAAAAAAGAGCAGATAAATTATCCGGCGAAACTTGGGGAGTGTGGATAGAACTGCGCAGGCACCCAGGCTTCGACTACCTCCATCACATGCTGAATGACATCCCGCCGCTGGCAGCTCCTTCGAGACTGCTCCGGGATCACTCAACTAAAACTGACACCAGCCGGTGGATTGCCTCGTGCAATACGTGGCGTGAGAGGGGGGGCGAAGGGTTCATCTCTGCAGTTTCTAAACACGCAACCAGGGAAAAATCCAAAGTGACCGTCGTACCTTGGTCTGGGAGAGTACGGGGCTCGTAGCCCCCGCCACCCTCTATCTCCACAACGTTTCGCATGCAAGACATTGCCTCTGCGTCTTGGCCGTTCAGAGGCACCCCGGGCACGAGGCCAGCGTGTACGATGATGCAACCCAAGGAAGGGAAGCTCAGCGTGTAGGGTAGGGCGCTTATCCACTGGAGATCATCGCTGGGTAGAAACAGGTTTGCGAAGTACCATGGGTTTTGTGGCGAGGGGGCGAGGGGGTAGAAGTGGAAAAACAGGATGAGTCCAGGGACGAGGATCGGGACCAATGAAATGAACAGCTGTTGAACGTCTTATGTTACCAACTAATAATGCGGCGCAGTTCGGGAAGGCATTTCCCCGTGACCAAGGTTTTCTCTGCTCACCCGATAGCAGCCTTTAGCCCCCCCCTCTCGCCCCCCCCCGGTGTTTGCCATCGGGGTTGGGTTTTCGTCGCTTGGCAACGACGTTGTAAAACAAGCCAATTCACTTCGTGAACTCGGCAACCAGGTTACCATTTTTTTTTTTACCTCTGGTTTCTTTTTGGGCGGTAACCATAATGGTGGTCGAGTAGATCATGTTGTGCGGGGTCGAGAACCCTCACTCCGCGCAAAGGGGATCATCGCACGTTGTGTTAAAATGGTCAAGCATCCTCGAGGCAGCTACACAGTGCTTACAACTGTCTCTGGAAGTGAAAGCACCAGAAAATAAATTAAGTCATACGCAGCTGTCATCCGTACGCGAGAAAGTAAGCAGAAGATGCCGAACGCTCCTTTCATGCGACTCGCCGAATATCTCACGGCGCTTCGCGCTTGGTGATATGAGATCCTGGTCTGGTGAGAACCCGGCGTGCTCCGTCCCGGCTTTGCAGGGATGCGAGGTCAATGGTCTAACGACTACGGCATGCACGACTATGGGTACACCCCCCCCCCCCCCTCGTTGAACAGGAAGGAAAGAGAGGATCTCGAGGAGGAAATGAGAGAGGGTGTGACATGGACAAGTTTGGTAAATTAGACAACAGCGAAAAAACGATCGCGATAATTGGGGATAGATGGTGGGCACAAGAGGCCCTAGAGGACGGGGATAAGATGTGCAAGAATTTTTTTATGTAGTTTGTGGCAGAAACGTAAAGAGCTCCCTAAATGTTGGTGGTGTCTCTAGTAGGGGTAGGAACCGGTGCTCCGTCTCGAAAGGGACGCGTGGTCAATGGTCAAATGACTAAGGCAAGCAACAAATGAGTACGCCCCCCCCCCCCCCCCCCCCCCTCCTGGGTTTTTT